TTTTTTTTGTTTTGAATAAAAAGCTCTGTTTGGTAATTCTAATTATGTTTCGTTATAGGGAATCATCGATGCAGTACTCGAAACACGTAGAAATATTGGGAAATACTCTGCTGGGGGTATTGTCGGAGGCGCTTGGGCTCGAAACCAATCACCTGGAAAAGATGGAGTGCTCGAGCGGGCACCGCCTCCACTGCCATTATTACCCGGCTTGTCCTCAGCCACAACTGGCCATCGGGACGACAAAACATTCCGATGCCGGATTTCTTACCGTTCTTTTGCAAAGCCAAGGCATAACTGCTCTACAGGTTTTGTATCAAGGCCAATGGATTGATGTTCACCCCACTCCCGGAGGTTTAGTAGTCAACATTGGTGATCTACTCCAGGTACCTAATTATATGTCACATTTCAGAAAATGTCGTCAAAACAAGTATGACGTTTGATCGTATAAATTCTTATATTTGTTTTAAATAATATGACGGATCGATCTGCATAACCGTTATAATACTGCATTACACAAGAACTTTGTAATTTTCTAAATATAATGACAAAAAAATTTCAATCTTGTAATTTGGCATAGTTGGTATCGAACGGGAAGTTCAAAAGCATCGAGCATAGAGCGATCACTAGCCACCTAGGCCCAAGAATTTCTGTGGCATGTTTTTTCTCTGGTCCTGTGACTGCGGCTAAGGTTTACGGTCCAATTAAGGAGCTGATAACAGAGGAAAATCCACCCATTTACAGAGAGGTCTCAATAGGTGAATATGTTGCCAAATTCCTCAGCTCTGCACTTGAGGATTATCGTGCTCTTGATTATTATAAGCTGACCGTGTGAAGATGTCCATGATCAAGTCATTAACATCGTAACTTTGTTAAGTTGGTTTACACACTACTGTCCAAAAATTTAAACATGTTTTGTCAGTTAATATTTGTAACAATGTATGCTTTCAAGTTTTTTGTTTTAAATGCCTATTTGTGCAATTGTTTTGAGATTTGTTAACCAAGAATATTAACGTATATAATCAACATGATGTGCTTAGACATGGCCAGGTGCCGGGTTTTGGCCCGGCCCGGCCCGGCGGGCCACGGGCCAGCCAACCCACGAACCGCAACCGGCCCGCCAAAAAGTAAGGGCCGGTTCATAGAACCGGCTCGAACCGCCGGTTCACTGGCCCGGCGGTTCGGCCCGGGTTCGGCCCTTAAAAAAATCAAAGGATTTGGCCCGGCCCGGCCCGGCCCGGCGGGACAAAACAAAAAAAACCGTGACCCTTAACCGGACCGGATTGGCCGCGGTCCGGTTCTCGAACCCGGCACTATTCATGCCGGTACCGGTANNNCGCCATTTCTTGCGTGTCATTGCGCCTCGCATACGAGCTCGTACCCATCTCTTAGGCCATGCGTGCATCGTTTTGGCCCTTTTTCTGGCCTCCTTGGGTCGTCTTGGCTCTGGGACCTTCTCATCATCGGGGTCCGAAACCCACTTCCGTATCAGGTGTTCCCGGCGTAAAATATCTGACGATGAAGTCAGTAAAGGAATGAGGAATGTTGTATATAATGTGTGTAATGCTATTGTAGATTCTAGGATGTGTAAAAATTTTATTTTCTATACTCATACCGATTTATAGTGCATTATTGGCTTGTTGGACAAGCTTTGCCCTATCCAATTGCTAGAAGGTCTGCTTGAGTGCCCAAATTGTCCGAAGGCTTGTTATTGCCCATAAAATCTAGATCCTTCTTACACGTGCACACCATTAATAAAAAAACAATGAATACATAATAATGTTGGGCTTCTCAAATCCCATTAATCGGAAATAAGTTAAACATAGATAAAATTTTATGTATTAAAATCTAACCTTCCTTTCTATAATGTTGATTTACAAGAATTAATATATAAAAAATAATGTCGGGATTCTAAATTCCGAACTGTTAGAAGCAGTTAGACATGCCAATCCAAGAAAAGAATATATACATATATTTCAAATCGGATTAAATAGAAAATAAGAAGATAAACTGTAAGGCATTTTCATAATCTAAAACATCCTATTATGTGCATTAAAAAAAAAAAATCGAGTATATCCTAAATTAACATTGGAATGTCACATCTCAATAATTCAAATTGGTTAGTTTTAATATATTATCTATCTATCTATACTACTCTAAAAGGAGGAGTGTTTTTCTAAAAATACATAATGCCTAAAAAACCCTTACTTAGACATAAATTTTATGACAAATTAGTAATACACTAATACACATCATATTTTATTTATATTTTTAATTAAAAATGAACTACCTAAAAAATTCTTACTTTGACATGATTTTAATGGCAAATTGGTAATATACTAATGTCAGATCTTATATTATTAATTAATAACTAATATCAAATACATGAACAACTCATTCCACACTCCTAAAATAAAATTGTTTTCTTCCACAAATCTTTAAAACTGTTTGATATAGAAACATTATTTTTAAAATAACCTATAAAAAATGTGTGATAGTATGCGAAATTAATTTTTTAAAACACTTATAAAACTAGACATCGATATTGTTTTTCTCATAACAACCACAAAATATTGAAACATTATTTTCAAAATAACCTATAAAAAATGTGTGATAGTATGCGAGATTAATTGTTGAATGATTATTCTGCAACATAAACTTCTAATCTATTCAATTTCTTTACTACATAAGATCGGAACAATTTTATGAAATTGTATAATATTAAAACTGTATCAATTTGTTTTCACGTCTAATGAGATACCACTTTAGCAATATGGATTAATTTTGACCATATAATTATCTACAAACTAATTAAAAATATCTCGAGAATCATGATATGCCTACATGCTGAAAATTAATTACCTTTTTATCAAAAAAAGTATATTCGTATATTATCATTAGTCATTTATTTATTTATATGTGTTTTTACAATAAAATGGTTTTATTTTAAAAAAAAGGTACGAAATAAAAAATTATATATTTGAGTATCAATGAGAAGATTATAATTATATATAAAATAATGTAAAAATGTAAAATTAATTGATATAAATAAGACAAATGACCTAAAAAGTGTTGTACTTAATTTTATATATTTTTAAACAAACCGAAAAGTTACCCACAAACACACACGCACATTAAAAACATATGAAAGAACAATATAAAGTAAAAAATATTAAATCTGATAAATAATATTTAATTTATAATAAAGTTGTAACACTTACTAATAACAATGAAAAAAAAGTAATAAATAAAAATATTATAATTAGTAAAAGTAATTATAGAACTTTTAAAATTTGTTTAATTTTTTGCGCTTATTAGTTTGTATATAAATTTTAGATGATAGACATCAGTTATTTATACTTTTATCCATGAAGGTTAGAAATTTATTTTTCGTAGAAATTAATTATTTTGATTTTAAATAACGTTTTATTTGCTATTAGTTTTTAATAAATATACAATAATACTTTTCGTTATGTAATATGTAAGTGCAAGAAATGTAATTCAATAGATAAATTAATAGGTAATTTTGCGATAAAAATGAGCAATTTCTACAAAAATTATATGGATTACCAAGTTCACTTGTTTAATATATAAAACATAATGCCTAAAAAACCCTTACTTAGACATAAATTTTATAAAAAATTAGTAAACACTAATACACATCATATTTTATTTATATTTTTAATTAAAAATGAACTACCTAAAAAATCCTTACTTTGACATGATTTTAATGGTAAATTGGTAATATACTAATGCCAGATCTTATATTATTAATTAATAACTAATATCAATTAATTAAATGCAAATATATGAACAACTCATTCCACACTCCTAAAATAATTTTTTTTTCTTCCACAAATCTTTAAAATTGTTTGATATAGAAACATTATTTTCAAAATAACCTATAATAAATGTGTGATAGTATGCAAAATTAATTTTTGAAAACACTTATCAAACTAGAAATCGATATTGTTTTTCTCATAACAACCACAAGATATTGAAATATTATTTTCAAAATAACCTATAAAAAATGTGTGATAGTATGCGAGATTAATTGTTGAATGATTGTTCTGCAACATAAACTTCTAATCTATTCAATTTCTTTACTACATAAGATCAGAACAATTATATGAAATTGTATAATATTAAAATTTGTATCAATTTGTTTTCACGTCTAATGAGATACCACTTTAGCAATATGGATTAATTTTGACCATATAATTATCTACAAACTAATTAAAAATATCTCGAGAATCATGATATGCCTACATGCTGAAAATTAATTACTTTTTTATCAAAAAATTATAATCATATATTATCATTAGTCATTTATTTATTTATATGTGTTTTTACAATAAAATGGTTTTTTTAAAAAAATGTACGAAATAAAAAAATATATATATTTAAGTATAAATGAGAAGATTATAATTATATATAAAATAATATAAAAAAAATGTAAAATTAATTGATATAAATAAGACATATGACCTAAAAAATGCTATACTTAATTTATATATTTTGAACAAACCGAAAAGTTACCCACAAACACACACGCACATTAAAAACATATGAAAGAACCATATAAAGTAAAAAATATTAAATCTGATAAATAATATTAAATTTATAATAAAGTTGTAACACTTACTAATAACTAGGAGAAAAAAAAAAGTAATAAACAAAAATATTATAATTAGTAAAAGTAATTATAGAACTTTTAAAATTTGTTTAATTTTTTGCGCTTATTAGTTCTGTATATAAATTTTAGATGATAGACATCAGTTATTTATACTTTTATCCATGAAGGTTAGAAATTTATTTTTCGTAGAAAATTAATTATTTTGATTTTAAATAACGTTTTATTTGCTATTAGTTTTTTAATATATATATACAATAATACTTTTCGTTATGTAATATGTAAGTGCAAGAAATGTAATTCAATAGATAAATTAATAGGTAATTTTGCGATAAAATAATGAGCAATTTCTACAAAAATTATATGGATTACCAAGTTCACTTGTTTGATATATTTTTAATATAAAAATTATAAATACAATTAATTAATAACAAAAACTCCTAATAAAAATTATAATATATAAAGGAATGAAAAAATGGTACATTGCAATGAAAATCCAACGGTAAAACATTAACTTTATTTTTCCAAAGACATCACGGTAAGACATTAATTGGAATTTCTAAATGATATTTTATTTGTATATCTGTCATTGTAGAATTGCATTGACTATTTCAAAGAGATCAAATTACATTATTTATTTTTGTGTAATATAATTATTTCAATTATCATTATTTATTATTGCGTGAATTTTTGCTAAAAAAAATTTCGGATCATATTTCAACAGTTGGAAAAATGTCCCTGGAATTGTAAAAATTTCAATGGAAGTTCTATTCGAAATCTACCTGTAGTGGTGGATACAAAATAATTTCATACTTTAGGCATTATTTGGTTAATAGAAAAAGTATACCATTAAAATAACATAATGTCATTATAATTCATAAATTATATTTTTCATAATTTGTCATCTTTCTCATCTGTAGTACATGTTTAACACATCAATACAGTTACAATTAAAAAAAACATAACTTTTCTCACTTCAACATAAGCAAATCAATGAAAATAATATATATTTTAAAAATTTTATGAACAAAAGTTGACTCGACAATATTATTAATGAATTTATGAATTGTAAATATTTACTTAAAATATTAATAAAAAAATTGTAATGAAATATAATATAATGTAGGATATACAAATATTTGATATATAATGAGACATATTATCGAAAAAATTCTATATTTTATATTATGTCTTTTTTTACA